CAGACTACCAGGACAACCAAGAAATCTGATCTCAGATGGACACTTCACATTCAGAGCTGCCTGCTTCTTTTTTCAAGATTTCTTGAGCACCTGTTATTTGCCAAGCATGAAGTTAGGTGCTTTTCTGGAAAATGAAATAAACAAGACATGGTCTCCACCTGCTACTGAAAATGTAGTAAATATTTCTTGTGCACCTATTCTGTGCCAAGCACCAAGCTAGCCCTTCTAGAATTATAGATGGCTAAGCATGCTCTTTACCTTCAAGAAGCACCTGACCTTTATTTTTCTATATAAATTGCTATCTACAAGTCTGTTCTAACCTTGGTAGAAGAGAGAACTGTAACTACTGCTGTATATCAATCTGAGTTTCCCTTTGTGTTACTAATCAGAGTGTGGTAAGAATTCAGATACTGTGAACCAGTCTCTTTAAAAGCAATCAAAGCAAAGGTGGAGCTTTGGTTGTCATGTTGCACATTTGCTGATTAAATTCCTACAGAATTCCTTAAAATCCTTGAAAGATAGACCCCCCAGTAACTGACTTTTCAGCATCTTGCACAGAGCTCCCAAAAAGTAAGCAACTAGGGGTGAAGATATAACTCAGTGGTAGAGTGCTTGCCTAGCACGCACAAGGCCCTAGGTTCAATTCGAAGTAAAATACACACAAACACACACACACACACACACACACACACACACACCCAAAAGATTAGATGTCCAATGAAGAAAAGAATCTCTAATCCCAACCTTAGTCAAGGATGTATGTTCAAAGTAAGAGGATCTTAAAAGTTCTATATATAGTGCTGTCAAATCAGAAATTTAAAAAATAGAGAACTGCAAAATAGAACTCAACTATAACATAGGAGTTGTCCTGTGCTTTCAGATTCTACCCACAAACTCTCGGGAACAGGCCAGCTATTAATTTACCTCTGGTATGGGGCAGAACATAAATTTGCACTGTTGATCCATGTGCTACGTCCTATTTGCCAAACTCTGTATGTACTGGGAGGAGGGGTAATTTCTACCCCTGGAGTGCACCTTCTATTCATTCTCTCCTGACCAACCCTACTTCCAGCCTGCTTATTTAAATTTGGTCTACAGGGCCAAACATAGAGAAGCTTCTTTAAATACAGTGCTTCCTAATACAAACTGTGATTTTCAAAATGCCATATAGAGAAGTCCAGGAAGCAGGGAGTCTGGGATCCTACTAAACCGATACCTCTGTAATTTGCTACAGGGGAAAGCTCTTGGAGCTCTAATCAGATTGGATATGGAGTCTGGGGATGAATGGCTGCCTCAGTCCTTCTATTCCCATCATCAGCCTCATGCTGAGAAACTATGTTACAGAAGAGACCACACAATGAAGCCAATAAGATTCTTCCAAAGTGGCTGCTCTTGTGGACAGAAAAGAGCTCCAACTATGACAATCCTACATGGGTGTAGGAACACGGAAGGTGACTTATGAGAAAAGCAAAGCCCAGGGACAGACTCTACTCCTCAGTGTCCCTCAGAGGAAGAGAAGAATTTATCAAGTAGTGGCTTAAAATTATAAGTGAGTGATATACTTTAAAAGTGAGTGATAACATTAAGACAAAAGCATCTTGCATTTGCTTGGGAGAAACCTAGTGTCAACCTGGGACCAGAACACTTGGAAACTGAAGGCACATAAACCCGTCTTACTTCTGTCATTGTCAGGACTATCATCTTGTTTTTGGGTTTCTTTGTGAAGTACTTCTCTGCCCTAAGCACATGGATCTCCTTCAACAGACCTTGTCACTCAGAAGTCATAATTCACTTCAAATTAGGTTGGTATCTGAAGATGAATAAAGAGTAGAAAGAATGTAGATTTTGTTTGCATCTTAATTTCCCTTTAGGAACTGCAGCTTTCATTAAGCGGCTTTAAGTCTTGAAGGTGCTGTTTAAACTTACAGTCCATGCTTATTGCCTGCAGTTTTTCCTTTCCTAACCAAGAGTACTTGTCAATTCTCACCTTACAGCCCCACCCTAAAATTGGGCAGGGAGACCCAGAAATTTGCTGAAGTTCATCATTCTAAGCTCACGTGAGTTTGTCGGGGGAGAAAGCTGCCTTGGCTTCAACAGGTAAGGAAGGACCTAGACTCTTCCTTACCTTCCCAGAAGGAGAACACACATTTAAACACCTCCAAAGAGGGCCCTTCAGCATATTAACTGGGCAAGCACTCTTTATCCTGCAGGACATCAAAGAACACAAATGAGAGTTTGCAGAGGATAATAGCTCAAACAGATGGAAAAGCTACTTTCAAACATTCAAACAGGAGAACTACAGAAAAGTCAAGGCACAATCAGTTTTGTAAAAGTGGAAGATAGACAAAACCCAAAAGTCATTCTCTAGTCTTCCATGGTGGCCCAAGAAAGCAAGTGGCTCTCTCTCTCTCTCTCTCTCTCTCTCTCTGTATTGTGTAAGCAGACATAAATACTGAGTTGCACGAAGCAACCACTCTCTCTAGAGTTACAAGCATACATAACATACATAATGAAGCCAGTCCTTAGAATAGAACCTATTTAATGATGCATCATGAGAAGAATTCAGTTTTACCTCCCATGTTGCTTGAAGATGTTCTATAATTTCCATTTGAACATTACAGCCTGCCATGATAGTGGTGTACAGAGCTATTGCTGCTGGACCAAATATGGCCTATGTGCTTACTAACACACAAATGTGCTTATACATTACCTGACCTGCTAGATTCAAACACTGGCCCTCCCCAAAGAGTACGCCACTCCAGAGTACTGAGTTCCAGAGTTAGAAGTCAGTTTGTAGTTCTAAGCCTGCCCTTTCATCTTCTCACATGGGAGATGTGAAGATTCAAAAGATAATGTCAGTAATGCTTAAAATATGAAAATCCTGCCCCAAATAAACTAGTTTGACTTATTTTAAATAGCATGAGGTGCTCCTTTCTTTTTTCATGGTCTCTTTGTTAATTTTATTTCTTGATCCCCCCCCCATTCTGAAAACAAGAAATTTTTGTTTTGTTCTTTAAGAGATGGAGCCCAAAACTGCTGAAATTCTCACCTAATTTATGCTATATAGACTCCAATAGTTTTAATCATAACACACTGGACCGAAAACTCTGATCTCAACCCAGATGCTAATTAGAACCCTTCCTGAATTGTGCTGCTATGGTTACCAGGCTTTTCCCAGGTCTCTTAATTCTGTAGTGAGAAAGGTATAGTCACTTCTCCAAAGGTCAGGTGGTTTCTCCAGGGATTGGGCCAGACCACATCCTATTATAAGGCATAGGTTTCAATGCCACACTTAACAAGGCAGGTTGGCTTTTGCCCACATAACTCACTTCACCATTGGATTTTGCCGTTCATCTCATTTCAATTATAAGGTGCTATAAGTGTCATTATCATCCCATTCTAGAGAAAGGAACCAGGAGACTCAGTGACAGTGAATGGCTTGCTCAAGGTCCCTCAGCCTGTGCCAGAGATGGAATAACAACTTGGTTTAATGGCAGCACAGCTGATGCCTTCAATAACCACAACAGAGGCGCACAGGTAGAATTCTAGTGCTTTACACCCTGCTCAGTGAGGCCTGCTAATGCACTCAGTCCGTTCAGAAGCACATATTTGGGGCTGGGTTGCTATGGACAGCCATCAATTACACAAGATAATATAGTTCTTTATCTCTCTTTTCTCATCTGTGGATTGGGGCTGGTAATTCTTCCCTCCCAGGGTTGTTCCGAAACTTCAGTGAGTTATTATGTCTGACATCCTTGGATGCACCTGTACCACACTAACTACCGTACAAGAAGCAGCTCATCCTGGCTGCTGAATCACTCATTCATTCAGGGAGTTCTGATTGGAGTCAAAGAGCCAGAGAGAGCCTTGGAACATCTGAGGGGCTGGCAGATGTGCATGGTGAGCAGCCAATGCGATACCAGAACAAAGTCACATCCACAAGCACAAGCCACGTGAGATCACATCACAGCCCGAGACGCCTTTACATTCAAAGTCAAGTGTCACATCTGCTTCTCTCTGCGGTCAGGTCAGTTCCCTCGTTTCTGACACCAACCTAGAGGCAAATCCACTAGACAGAACACTAGCTATGACATGACTAGAGAAAGTCTATTCAGAAAGCTATCATTACAAAAAAAAAAAAAAGCAGGTTTCTCCTTTTCTCTCATAAGAATCAGTTTTACTTTCACCCGGCTTTTTTCCACAATTTAAATTCTATGCACAGCTCAATAGCTTAAGAAAGGCATTTATTTTTCTGGAGCCTGTGAAAGGTACTTTAATCTGGCAGGATGGTGGTGAAAGACTGGAGAAAGCTGTGAGTTTCAGCAGACTAACATGAAACCACATTTTTGTTTTCTTTGAAAAAGAAGCACATCTGAGGGTGGCCAAACTTAGGCTGCTTCCTCTTTTCTAACTTTAGCCTCAGGGCCCAGGAGCCATTGTGGTAAGGTTTATTAAGCATAGTACACTTGGCTTTGTCAGTTTTGTCTCCTGAAATCTTCCTAACCCACTTTAGACCTCGTTTGCATGTTTAAACAAATGAAAAGCTTCAGAGTGTTCTTCAAAAAGCCTACAGAAAAAGAGTACTGGGGTATAAAAACATGAGCACATAAAAAAAGTGGTCGCTTGGTTCTTCTTTTCTTGCTTTTGTTTTTGCCACAGCCCTATGTGATGGCTGGCTCTACCAGTAAACTACGTCTCCAGCCCCAGGTATTTCCTTGAAAGATTCATTCCAAATATGCAATCTGAGCAAGGAACTGCTTGAAGGTTTGTTTGCTGAGCACAAACACCAGGAACAATTCCTGCCCCCTGAAGACCGCACTGGGGATCTGGGTCAGTCACGTAAAGCCACAGAGGCCTCTGGGCGGACAGGGTTACCCAGAGGACAGGACTCCAAGCTGGGCCTGATAACCTTCCACAGAGGGAGCAAAGGTAAAGGTATCCTGCGAAAAGGCTTTTGTCCTATAGAGCCATGTGACACTATTCCAGACACTGCTACTCACCTCGACTTTGGAGGTGGGGGAGGAGGTGAGAACGCCTCCATCCTGCTTCTGTCCTTGGGGAACTCAAATGCAAAGGAGGCCGATTTGCTCATCCCGGTTCTGACTTTGCTGTTCTGCCCAGAAGAGACATCAGTGGGGTGGAGACGGTGCCAGGTAGAAGAGTTTGAATGGTCCACAGTGCCATTATCCATCTCTCTTCCCCAGCTCTGACCCAACAATTCCTGCTCTACCTCCTCCTCTTCCTCAATCCGGCACTGGCGACTCCAGGCACCAGTCTGATACCTGGGTCGCCTCTGGTCCAAGGCTGAGGTAGAGGCAGCAGGAGGGGGGCACCTGGTAGGGTCATTGGTCCAACAGGAAGTAGTGGGGTCAGCTGAGCCTCTGCATGTAGACTGGGGTGCCCTGCTGCCTGAGTTCCCCTCACTGGAGTCAGCCAGTGCAGAAGCAGATGGTGATGCTGGGGACCCACCAGGGCTGCTTTTGGACAGCTTGGGGGGAATGGCAGGCCTCCCCTTGGGCACGTTTTCAGACCTATCGTGAGGATGGCTTTCCTTGGAGCTCAGCCTCTGCCCAGCTATAGTCTCCTCCTCACCAGCCTCCACGTCCTGGCCCACAGGCCCCTGTGGCCACTGCACACCCACTGCAGAGTCTGGGCTGCTCAGGTAGATGGTCCGGTGGTCCTCCTCTGGGTGAGCAGCCATGACTGTGATGGTGGCTGCTACCGGGGGAGCCATGTCTGAGCCTTCTCTGTCCCGGTTCCAGACAGATGGTGTCTTCTGAGCCCTCACGTCGCCTGTCCATACCTGGCTCTGAGTGGCAGGTGCCTGCTTCGCCTGTGGCCTGGAAGGCACTGAAACTGCCTTCTTCCTCTTGGTGCTCTCTGCATAGATGGGTTCTGGCTGTGCAGCCTCCCTGGGGTGGGCTGGGGGCTGGGACTCCGGGCACCTGGTAGAGGTGACCACGTGGCAGTCAGAGTCCTGCTGTTTCCCCGGCAGCACAGCTTCCTTCACGAGGGAACAGTAATCATTCTCAAGGTGGGGGGCAAAGGGGCTGCTGGCCCCACTGCTGCCACTACCACAGGACAGACCATCAGAACTGGCAGCCTCAGAGTTGGCGGACAGCTTCTTGGGCCCCAGATGGGGTGGGTTTGCTGAGGGACCCTGGTCACAGCAGTCTCTGGGGAAGCTCAGACTTCGCTTCTCCTCCTCTGGGGGCTCAGTACTTGTTCCCTGCTCCCAGCACATCGAGGAGTTGCCCCCTTCACATCTACCCTGGGAGCCCTCAGTGTGTACAATGTCCTTGGTGGCAGGGCTCCTGGGGCAGCAGTCCAGGATGGAGCAGTATTCTCCACCTTCACTGTCCCCAGAAGGGGAGCACCTCTGATCACTTTCATCCTCGGAGGGCAGGGACTCCTGCAGGGGCTGTGGAGAAGGGCAGGGCCTGGGGCCTTTGTGACAGCCAGATGTCATCTCGGCAAAGGCAGCCAGCTTCTGGCGGAAGCTCTCTTGTGCAGAGGGTAGCTCTTGGCAGGAAAATGTGGGCTTCCCTTCCTGCCCGGCCTTCTCGTCTGGGAAACCCACTGGGTGGAAAGCCAAGTTCCTTTCTCCCCGGGCCTGCAGGCTGTGCAGACCAACCATGGCATAGGCAGGGGGACAGTGAGAGCTGCCATCCGTACAGGCAGAGGGACCAGCAGGCTTCTGGACACCGCGGAAGCTGCCCAGGTAAACTATGGGCACGTCTTCCTGCTTTGGGAGGGAGAGCTTGCCAGGGGCTCGTCTCCAGATGACCTGCCAGAGGTAAAAGACTTGCATGAGACTTCATCAGAGAAAGAAGAAAGAGAAAGTGAGAGCCAAATACCATGACACTGTCACTGTCTTCTGTAGTGCAGCCCATGCACATAGGAGGCGGACCCAGGGTGAGCTCTCCCCACAGCCCGCAATCACGGCTGGGGCACCCATGGGGCATTTGTCTTTCCAGACCCTGATCTGTGCTCCCCTCACCTCCTGCCCTTCAGGGTCTGTAATGCTTTGAACTTAAGTATGGGAAGCAGAGGAAGAAATAAAAGCTTCTAAAAAGAGTGCATTGCCTTCTCTTTCACAAATATCCAGTGGAACAACTGTTCTATAGGCTTAGGAAATACAGTTTTAGGCTTTGTTTAATTTTTGTTTTCTGTTCACTTTTTTTAAAAAACAAAAAAGCAAACTAATACTGCTACAGTGCATTCCTGAAGGAACCGAAGTCACAGTGATTTTTAAAACCCCCAGGATGGCTGATCGGATCAGGGCAGGAGGCTGAGAGGGACTTCTTCTGTCTTTCTGGGCTCCACTTCAGACCATGAGGAAGAGCTGCCCTTTCTCCCAGTTAATGGTGATGACCTCAGTTCTAGTCTCCCTGTGTGGCTGAACTAGTTGAGCTATGTGACAGAGATGTGAACTGGTCATTCCCATACTAAAACCTCTGCCCCTCTTCCCTTCTAAAGTCCTCATCAACCTCACTTTCAGAAGCAGTTTCAAAGGAGCGCCTACCTTCGTCTCCTTTCCCACACAATTTTGAGCTTAGAGTCCCTGGTTTATGTAGGTGAAGGTTGATACAGGTCAACAATGCCTTGGTGAATGGGTGTGGCCAGGTCAGGGAAAGGGGGCAGCCATGAAAGGGACAGGGAGCTCCAGGCAACCACAGGAAATGCCTGTCTTCAATTAAGCCTCCCTTGATTCAAAACTGACCTTTGTTTTCACACACACTCACACGCCCTTCCTGGCCCACTCACCGAGTTGGTCGGGGTGGGGGGAACTAGGACATGCAGAGAGGTCAACATGGAGCAAGCAGTCCTCAGACTATCTCAGACATACATACAGCGTCTAGGACCTGCCCAGAGACAGCGGACTCCCGCGGGCCCGGTCTGTGGGCCCTCTCAAAAATTATACCTTTTCTCAGGGTCACCTGTGGATGCAGGCCAACCTAACTGCTAATGATGTCACTGTAGTAGTGACTCTAGATCAAAGCTGGTAAAATTGAAACTTTAAAATTAGAAGTACAAATGCTGGCTGGATACTAAATGATAATAATGAATTTCTGCTAATATTTCAAGGGCGCTGACACTATTTGTTTTTTTTTAATAAAGACCTTATCTTTGAAATATAGTGGTAAGTGTTAAATGGATGCACTGCTTGGAGTCCGCTGTTTCAATCACAGTGAAAGGAGGTAGAAGGGGCAGATGTAAAACAAGATGGGCAGAGCCAGTCATGGAACGAGTGTTGGGCGAATGGGGTGTATTATACAACTTTTGCTACTTGTGTGTATATTTGAAATTATTTGCTGATAGTGTGTTCAAACAAAGTTTTATTTCTATTTGGCCTCATACAAATCTCCAGATCATAGAAGAAAATTCTGAGGTGTTGCGTTAATGGTTATTAGCCTAAAGGGAGAGAGAGAAAGGAACCTGATGAGAGCCAAGCAGCAGTGGGGCAAAAGCAATCCCGGGGCAGGCTGAAGGCCGCCATCCTGCAGGATGCTTGCTCCAACAGCCCTCCCTGGCTGCCAGCCAGCCACCAAGTGCTGGAAGAGGAGCAGCCCCTGTAAAGATGCCACAGGGATTAGTCAGCCTCACCTGTGGGACTTCAGCACTCAGGCTGGCCTCTGTCCACAGATCGGAGGCCTCAGAGCTCATCATAGTGGGTTTCACAGCTATCGTGGGCTTGCAGTAGGGTGAACCGTTCACACCTTCATCCTCCACGCTCCTGGGAGGTGGGCGCGGTGGAGCAGGCAGGCTGCCTGTTCTGGGCTGGGTACGGCCTCCTGCTAGCTGGTGGTCACTCCGCAGACAGAAGCAGTTCTTGCAGGACCCTGGCTTCCAGATGTGCTCCACAAAGTCACTGCACGCAGACATCTTCGGGCTCTCACAGTTCAGTTGGGTGGTCCGGAGCATCGTGAGCTGAGAGTATGCTGGCTCATCTTGAACCCACCTCTCAGGTGTGGTTTTGTGGGAGGCAGGAGTGGGTCCCAGAGAGGCCACCTGGGAAGGCAGAACATGGGATTGATCAGAGACCTTGCCAAAGACAGGTGCATTAACAATGAGTCTGATTATCTAATTATGGGAAAGGGGGAAAGAAGGAGGGGAAACAGGTAAAGATTGCATTCCATTTACTCTGGGCCCTTCACCAACTTGTCACAAGGCTTTTAGACACTCTCTAGCTGAATGGCCTTATTGGAAGTTGCAAAAACTAAACATAGCCCTGTTACTAGAATGTGGAATATAAAAGACATCACAATCCCCTAAAGCACTAAGTACTTGGAGGTTTGGAGCAGCCATGGGAAAAATCACACACATTTTGTGATGAGAAGTCTGTACATGGAGGGTGGTGCAGAGCCTGGGGCGCTGTCCTCCCCCCAAAAAGAAGAGCAACAAAGTAGTAGAGGAAATAAAAGCAATAGCTTCCAGACAACAGCCCACAATTTTTGACTAAGAACCATATAGGAATGGAAGTAGGCCTGTGCCTGAGATGGACCTGGGGATCCACACATCTGGCTAGGTGAGGTGGGAATGGATGGAAAGGCGCAGGATGTGATTCAGGGGGATCTGGTCAGGAGATCTGGTATCCCCAGAATTCTGCCCCCTCTTCTGCTTTAGTATGCATCATTCAACCCTAAGCTGAATGAGGTCAAGAGAGCTGTGGGCCATGGACAGAAGAGAAATAAATGCATGATCACCACACTCCTCCTCCCAGAGTGGTTGGACAAAATATAGGTGAGAGAAGAGATTATTAAATCGTTATTTTCCTCTTATAGCTCTGAGGAGAAAATGGTCAGTTTACTGGAAGAGTTCACTGTTTGGGAAAGTAAAGAGGAGGGCACAGTGTGTAACAAGGTTCCCCATTCATTCTCCCTGAGGAGGTGCTCTGGGGCACAGACTAACCAGATCACCTAAATAGTAAGCTATCAGGTAGCTTCTAGCCCCATTCCACAGGTGGGGGAACTAAGGTAAAGACCTGTTCGTTGATACCAAGTTTGCTAGCTCTCAAAAGGAAAGCTGACTTTGTTGGTAACCCTCACCTAGTGGTTCAAGATACTGAGGAGCTCACCATTCACCACCTACTGCTCTCCACTCTCCTTCACTATGTGAAACGAACTCATCGATGCCCCATCAGGAGAGCATTCCAAAAAAAAAAAAAAAAAACTCTACCCTGAGACCTGGAAGCAAACAGATTCTCATGGATGAGGGAAGGGTTGCCGTAGGGGTTGCACTCTTTGCTCCCCTGAGAATGTGCTTAAGGTGATGCTCTCAAAACAACCAACAGGACTAACCAGGTGGGGTGTGCCAGGAGCTGCAAGGACCTTTCCAAGGTCTTTGTGGGACGGGCTCTCTCTCTCCTCTCCCACACTCACAGACAGGGGTGTTTGTTCAGTCAATTTTTCCCTCCAAAGTTAACAATGAAGCCAACTAATTCTTTGGGCTAAATGAATACTGAAATTAAAAAAAAAAAAAAACCTTTTTCAGCATCGCTCTTAGGGTCTTGTGGATCCTTTTCTTTCATGATTATTGGTCAAGTTATTGTCTTCCAGAAACACCCAGAAAGCGGGTTCCTTGCTTGCTTCCCCGGGAGGGAAGCTCTCCAGAAGAGGTCACTGGGCTTCCACAACAGAGGAGCCAAATCCAAGTTTATTTCTGTCTCCAGCACTCTTATACCACAGAGACCTGTAGTCTCACTGCTGAGTTTCAGGGGGAAGGGGGGAAATGAAGAAGTATTTTTGTCTTCGGGGCTAGGGAGTAGGTCCCACTTTGGAAGCTGATGGCTGAAGGTTGACTAGATCTGCCTGGCCATAGAAAAGACACCATCAGGCCACGCTCTGTGTAGGCAGAGGCTCCCCCGTCCCTCCGAGGGACGTTGAAAGAAAGCTTAGAAACCAGATCTGTGTGGGCTCCTTAGCATCCTGCCAGCTCTCTTTTTTGTGTTTAGTTATTTTTGTAGTACAGGGAATTGAACTCAGGCCTTCCCACTGAGCTACATCCTCAGCTCCTTTTCATTCTGAAACAGCTGCTCACTAAATTGCCCAGCCTGGCCTCAAATTTGTGACCCTCCTGTCAGCCTCCTGAGTAGCAGGTGCAGATTCTTGCCAGCTCTTGCTCAGGCTGGCTATTGGAGAAGGGAGGCATCCAGCTACTTCCCCAAGGGCCACCACAGATTCCCAATGAAAGAGCATGGTGGCCATAACTCATTTCCTCCTAAAGAAGCAACCCAGAAGACAAGCTTCTCATGAGGGAGAGCTTGCTTGGGGCAAATATCTTTCTAAGGATACGTTCTTCGTGCCCCTAGGTTCAGGGTTACTCTTGTGCCAGAAGATGTTCTTGAGAATCATGTAAGAGCGCCCTCTTTGCTTCCATCCAAAACTCTGTGCACATTGAATACAACTTTCACTATCCAACTGCTCAGCGATACAGTGGTTTTCCAGGAGCAACTGCTGAACACCAGAACAAAGGGAAGCCCAGGCTTCCCACCATCACCGATGCACGACATTCTGTTAAAACTGGTTTCTCTGTGAAGTTACAACCATGTCTGAGGAGCCAGCAAAGACTCTTCCTGTTGTGCTTCTGTGCCCGGAATTATCTCGTGTTTGTTTGAAGCAGAAGATGCTGGAACGTGCAAGGGGCACTCGGGAGGAGCAGGGGTAGAGCTGTCTCACCAGTGCTGCGCTCCTCTGCTCCTCTCCTGGGCAAGAGAAGTGCACCTTCCCAGCCCACATTCCTTACCTCTGAGGAGAAGCTGCCCCCAGAATTATGCAAATTCTCCCATTTCAGTGGGAGGCTGCAGAGTAAGATTGGAAAAAAAATCTCAGCATTCTTTCTGATCCAAGTCATTATAAAATAGCTTTGCTTTTGCAAACTTCTGCACCAGATTTGTACCTAAAATTTACAAGACTGAAGCTATCAGACTCACTCTAATCCCATTTCAAAAAAGGATGTGAAGAAATCAAGGTGGCCATATCTGTACAATTAAGTATTTTGGCTCAAAATGGCCCTCACCTTTGCATCAGAAGTTGCTTACACTTTACCTTGAAGTGACAGAACTGAGGAAAACTCACTCAAAACATCCATATATTTAAATAAATGCAACATATGAAAAAGGAAATATATATATGCAAAAGTGTCTGGATTTCAATAATCTGCATTGGCCAAGGCTGGACACGCAGAAAGGAGAAAGTGCTAAGTCGTGATATTCACGTAACTTTTAATTTTCTTTTTTCTTTCTCCAACGCCATGTAATCCAATCGTCGGAGGAGGAATGTCATTCTGCACCCACTACAGTTTACACCAATAGGAAGGATACCAGTTCCACAGGACACCCGGACAGCAAACTAAATGCAGAATTCAGAATTCCCTAGGGCTTCCTGTCAAATTTCCTTCTGAGAAAGGGAAGAGGAGAAGGTGGTAACGATAGTTCAGGCCATTGATCAATAAAACCTTGCGAGCCCGACTCTGGACTGAATGCACTGCCAAACCCCTTCCCCTAGTCGTCTGGGCTTTGGTATCAGCTCTGCAAAACCATGGGCTGACGGGGCTTTCTCTGGGAGAAACACGCATAGGATCCACGCTGTGCGCTGCGAACACTCAGCCTCCTGCATTCTCACTCTCAGGACTCAAAAATGCAGAGGTCCTATTTTCTGAGTGTGTGTGTGTGTGTGTGTGTGTCCGGCTGGGGAGCGGCAGCGCGATCAAAGGTTAAGAATGTGCGCACAATGTGCGTTTCAGAGGACTCAGTCGAGGCTCTGTAAAAGGGCATCACTGCGCCCCCTCTTGAGTCCCGCTACTGCAAAGAGGTAGTCACCCTGGACCCCCAAACCATCACACTCGGGTCAGGTCCCAGGAGCTGGGCGGCCTCTCGCTCCCGGTTCCTCTGACAATCCCCGCGGCGGAAAGCAAGCCGCACAGCCCTTGGGTTGCCTGCCGCACAAAGCGGCCAGACCAGCAAGACCAGTAAGGCCATCACAGCAGCCGGGTCCCCTCCCGGAACTCGGAGGAAAGTTTCCCAGCTTTAAACAGCGCGGTTTTCCTAGGAATCCGAAACACCTCTGGGCTCACCAATCTTACCCGCTGGGCGCCCCACCGCGGCTCATCCCCGGCCGCACGCGGTCCGGACGCTCTGGTCCCCACGATCCGATCC